ACTCTACATAACATAATAGTTATCATTTTAACCATTTTTAGGTGTACAATTCACTGACATTAAGTACATCCACAATATGATGCAACCACCACCACTATCCTTTTCTGAAACTTTTCATCATTCCAAATAGAAACTCTATTCCCATTAAACAATAAGTCCTCATTCTCTTCTTTCTCCAGCCCCTAGTAACTTCTATTTTATTTCTTGGAATATTCCTCTGTTTTAGGTATCTGATATAAGTGAAATAATATAATATCTGTTCTTCTGTGTCTGCTTTATTTTACTTTGCATGTTTTCAAGGTTTATCCATCTTGTAGCATGTATTAGAATTTTCTTTTCTTTTATGGCTGACTAATATTCCACTGTATGTATCTACCATATTAGAAGAAATCCATTCATCTGTTGATGGAAATTTGGGTTGTTCCCACCTTTTGCTTATTGAGATTAATGCTGCTCTGAATATTGATGTGGGAGAATCTGAGTCCCTAATTTGAATTCTTTTGGGTATATTTACCCAAAAGAATGGAATGGAATTAATGGATCATATGGTAATTTTTATGTTTAAAATTGTTTTTATGCCATGAAACTGTTTTCCACAGTGGCTACACCATTTTACGTTGTCACCAGTAATGTACAAGGATTTCAGTTTCTCTGTGTCTTTGCCAACAGTTATCTTCCTTTAAAAAATATGTATAATTCTCTTAATGTTTTTATTGATTTTTAGAGAGAGAGTAAGAGAGAGGGATGTATAGAGGGAAACACTGATGAGAGAGGAACATCATCAATCCGCTGCCTCCTGCACACCCCATACTGGGGATTGAGCAAACAACCTGGGCATGTGCCCTGATCAGGAATCGAACCTGCAACCTCTTGGTCCCTGGGTCAATGCTCAACTGCTGAACCACACAGGCCAGGCTATCTTCCATTTTTTGATAGTGGCCACCCTAATGGGTATGAAGTAGTATCTCATGGTGATTTTGATTTGAATTTCCCTAATGACAAGTGATGTTGAACATCTCTTTATGTGCTTAATTGACTATATTGGGAGGAATGTTTATTCAAGTCCTTTGCCTGTTTTTGCAAATTTTTGTTGGTTTTTGTTGAGTTGTAAGAGTTCTTTATATATTCTGGATATTATCCCCTTATCACAAAATTGTTCTTGATTTTCCCTTTCTATCATTTTAATGCCTTTGGGATTGTAGTGATGTTCCCCTTTTCATTTTTAATGTTGGTAATTTTGCAACTAGTGCTATTGATTACAAAGATGGTAGTCTTGAAGGGGCTTCAACATAATTATTTCTATCAGCTATTCTTCATGTATTTTTAGGCTTTCCTGTTAGGTACATACATATTTACAATTGTTATGTATTCTTGGTGAGTTGACTCCATTTTCATTATATAATGTCTCTCTTTATACCTGGTTTTATGTTTTGTCCTTATGTATGCATTGTCTGACCTTAATGTAACCTCTCTGATTGATTCTCTTTTGATTATTGTTTGCATGGTATGTCTTTTTACTCTTTTTACTTGTAAGTTATTAATGTCCTTATATTTAAACTTGATTTCCTATTGACAGCATATCATTGAATTTTCCTATTTATTTCACCTGGCAATATTTATCTATTAAGCATATTATTAAATTATCTTAATTAAATGTAAGATCATTCAATATATGTTTGAATTTAATTATGATATTGTGCTAGTGTTTTTCATATTTTCTCCATATGTTTTTTGTTCCCTTTTTTCTCTTTTATCTTCTGCCTTCTTTTGGATTACTGAACTGTTTCTTATAGTTCTATTCTATCTTCACTCTTGGTGTATTTATAACTACTTTTTTAGTATTTAT